TTGTGTAGAGATATTTTTTGTTACTGCTTTTTGCTTTTCTTCTTCCACTGTCCTTCCTCCAGTATTTTTATATTTCCAAACAACTGTTCTTTCTTCTGCTTCTTTGGTGAGACTTGCCACTGTGTATTTATGTTTTTGGATTAGTACAGGCAAAAAAAATCTTCCACTTTTCTTTTCAAATTATTTTCAAGATTTTGATTTCTCTTGAATCATTTTGGAAAATGCTATTGTGGTTTCATTTCTTCTTGCAAATACATAGGGTATTCTGTCTCACTGGGAATTAGTTCACTTTCTTTGGTTTTGTAATATTTATTTGGTGACATTTGCAATAATTTAGGTATCTTGGTACCATCTTCCTTTCTAATTTATCTACTTTTGTAGTTTTATTTTTTTTTCCTTCTTTCTGAGAGCTTTGTTTAATTTAGTCTTTTCCCCTTCTATTCCCCTATTAATCACTTTCTGATTCCTACCATTTTGATAGTGTCCCCAGGGGCTGTATCACCTGTAAAGTTATATTAACCTTCTCTTACTTTGGAGAATTCATTTCTCACTAGCCTCAATGCCTGCCCCCAGAGGCTTCTGGGGACACAGGGCTGGAATTAGCTGGATACAATTCCCTTTTCTTCAGGCTTGGTTCAGCCACACACACAGGTACTAATGTCCTGCATCAGTTCCCTTTGGTTTTTTTTTTTTTTTATTTCTCTGGCTGAGAGCTGTGGTCCAGGAGGCAGACACTCCCATTCCTTTATTTTCCCCCTCCTCCACAAGGGGATGGGCAGAGTTGAGGGCTTCCGTTTTTTCTTTTTGTTGGGTTTTTTTTTCTTGTCATCGAATGGTGGCTGAGGGTAGGAGCAGGGTGTACTGGCTGGGAATGCTGCAGCAGCAGGGAAATTCCTGAATAGCTGCTAGAGCTTACACAAATGGGTTGGGTTATGAACCCAGACAGAGAATGATAGCTGGGGAGGGAGGGTTGTCCTGAGTAAGCAGGTTAAGGGCTGTTGTTCTCTACGGTTAATTCATAAGCCTGCTACTTTATCAAGTTTCTTGGTATCTTAACCTATGGAGACAGCTGGAATTGCTTTAACTCTTAGGCATAATTCCTATTTAGGGGAGTTTTTGAGAGTTAGTGAGGACTGAAGATACTTAGACGTCCACTATTTTGTTGGTCCAAACCCAACAGACCTCTGTAGATCCCAGTGTCTCACATACCTGTCCCCTGCAACCTATCTTCCACACTGCTGCTAAGGTTATTTTTTGAAAGTCTAAGTCTGATTATGCTACACCACCCATCCACTCACCATCAACCTCCCCTCCCTCTTAATTCAGTAGCTCCAATGGTTCCAATTGCCTCTAGGATCAAATATAATCTCTTTTGTTTGGCACTTAAGGCTGTACAACCAGTGCCCTTTCTACCTTTCTGATCTTTTCTACTTTTTTTTTCCCTCCATGGGCCTACTGGTTTAGATGGGGTCATGCCCCATAAGAAATTAGTCTCCATTGTTCTCTCTTCATCTAATCAGCTGTTTTGATATATCCTAGGAGTGACAGATCTAATGGGACTCTAGGAAAATGTATTTTTATTGGGCTATCCTATTTCCCTGCTTCTTGTCCTGTCCCTGATCTCCTTTTCTGAATCTTCTCTCAGAAACCTTAGCCCTCTCTAATGATTAAGTTGTTTCTGTGATCTCATGTGAGGGACTGTCTGATGTTGGCTACTGCCAAGTGAGGATTGTGGCAAGATTGAGGTAGGATCTGGGTATTTGGAAGTAACCGGAGCTCACGCTCCCGAGGCAGGGGCTGTGGTGGGCGGAGTTGTGGTGAACTGGGATGGGCTGGATACAGAGAAGTCCTGAGGCAGTGGGCAGTGTTATGTGAGATAAGCTGGGGAAGGTACAGAATACAAGGAAGTAGCCGGAGCACGTGCTCCTGAGGCAGGGGGCTGTGCCACTTGGGAGTGGGACGGCAGAGGACGAGTTCCCTTTGCTTAGTCCCCTCCCTAAGTGCAACGTCAACCCCAGACACCTCCTTCCTGTGTCCTTCCTGACTTCCTGGGTCATGTACCTTCCCTTTGTGTAGCACTGACCCCAGACGCCTCCTCCCGGTATCTGGGCCTGACTTCCTAGGTCACGTACTCTTTGTCTATGCACTAATCCCAGACGCCTCCTTCCTGTATCCGGTCCTAGCCTCCTGCGTCACTTCCTCTCCCTTGGTGCGCTAAACTCAGACATCCCCTTCCGGTATCTGACCCTACAATCATTGACTAGTAGGCGGGCTGAGGAGGAGGGGCTAAGTAGGTACTTAAGGAACGATTGTGGTTGGATCACGGCTCTCTCTTTGCTCCTGCTCTGTTGCTCTGGCCTTCCTGCTTGGCCTTGCTGTGATGGCCTCTGAATAAAGCTTGGGTGTTGGCACCTCCTAGTAGGCTTGTCTCTGTGTTTATCCGGTTGAGGACCGAAGACTGGTAAGTATGACTCTGGCAGCCTGCTCCTTATAGGAGGAGAGTGCACGGCGCAGCCGGCACAATCTCACTGTGTGAATTTTTCATATGACTTATTTCTCACAGTTAATTTTCCTATATATGACTAATTTTCTTATTTTCATGAATAACAATTTCCATAGTTGACTTTGTGCCAAAACATTCCCAAAGCAATCAATATGTAATTTAATTCTGTTTGATTAACGAACACACACAACTACTTTCAAGTAACAACCCACTCAAAGGAGAGCTAATTACAGAAGAGAACAAATTGCAGGAAAGTATACTTCTGACAAAATCAAAGGATCCTTAGTTCACAAGACTCCTGAAAAACATGTAAGTGAAGCATATGTCCTGGGAAGAAAATTTAATAACAAGGCTACCATCAACTTAATAATATTTAACATTAAATCAAATTAAAATACTTTGTAATAAATTAAAACTTAATAATAAATCAATATTCAATATTTAATTTAATAATATTTAACAAAAGGCTACCATCAATCAATAAATTAACATTTATTACATACTTACGTGCCAGGTTTTGTCTAAGCTCACAAAAGACAGTCCCTGACCTCAAGGAGCTCACAATCTAATGGGCGGAGACAAACAAATATGAACAAATAAACCAAATACAGGAAAAAATAGGAAATAATTAACAGAGAAGGAAACAGAATTAAAATGGGTTGGGAAAGGCCTCCAGTTAGAAGATGGGATTTGGGTGTGTAATGTGACCTTGGGCAAATCATTTTGCCTCTTTCCCTTTCTCAAAAGTGGGGACAGTCTTCCTTAGAGACTTGTGTCCAAGACCCAACGATTTGAAAAACAACTCATTTATGTAGTGCTTTAAAAGCCCTACAAATCAATTCATCAACAAGCATTTATTAAACACCTAGGGGCCAAACACCACACTAAAGATAGAGACAAAAATGAAGCAATCCCTACCTGAAAGGGGCTCAAATCCTGTAAGGGATGGGGGATGGCAATATGCACAAGTAAAAAAATATAAGAAAAACAAGTTAGTTTGAGCAAAAGGCTGGGGGGGATGGCAGGAGCAGCTGAGAGGAATCAAGACAGCCTCCTGAAGGAAGTGGCCTTTGAGCGGTACTTTGAAGATAGCTAAGTACTTCACCTACCTTACTTCATTCGATCCTCACCATAATCCTTTGGGATAGGTACTATTATCATCCCCATTTTATAGATGAGGAAAGTGAGGCTCAAGGAAATCAAAGTGACTCGTCCAAGTCATCCAACTAGTATCTTGGCCTGGACAAAAGGCTGTTAAATGTGTAGTCATACTTGCAAGAAGATTAAAAGGTGAATTTAAAGAGAGGAATTCCTGAACCTCAGAGTTATAACTGGATCAGAGATCCAGTTCAACTAGTTCAAATAATAGCATTTCTCCACCAGAAAACTCTCCTTTCAGTGGTGGTGGTTGTTGATAAACCACCTCGCACTCATTAACTATCACAGGAATACCGTGGGCACCTGGGGAAAGTCCTTCTGTCACTTCCCTTAATTTTCTCTATTCGAGGTCTTCTCGGCCCAAGTAAATCAAAAACTTGACCAAAGAGGACTTTCGAATCACGTCACGGATTACGCCACCTAGCACAGGCGAGACGACGTGTGACGTAACACGCCAAATTCCCAACCTCCTCTTCCTTCTTAGTCAGCTCCGGCGTTACTGGGCGTCCCACGCCACCCCACCAAAATAGGAAGCGGGTAGACGACAGGTTCCGCCCATAGGCATCATGGCGTATTTAGGCTCTCTTTCCACTCCCGCCCTTTCTGTTCTCTCTGCCGGCGGAATCAGCAAAGGATTAGGAGGTAAGTGAGGAACACCGTCTCTATTCTAGACTTGTCCCGGCCCGGAAACCCTCTCGGGTTCTAAGGTATTCGCTAGAGAAGAACAAACGTTTGTCAATAAAGCTCGTTGACAGACAGGAAGAGAAATAGAAAATGGGGGCCGGGAGCGGTGGTGGGCGGATACCTTTCGATGCTTGGCCAATCGGTGCCGCACGAGGCTGGACCAGTTGAGGAAGGTTGGTAAGGAAGAGGGAGGGGGCGGGGCCGGGGCGGGGCCCTGCAGGGAAGGGGCGGGGCTGCGGTTGCGATCGTTAGCCGGAGGGGGCTGCGGCAGCTGCGGGTGAGTGAGCAAAGTGGCGGAGGAGGCTTGCGACTTGATGGGGAGGAGCACTGTGGCGCCTGAGACTTCGCTCCCTGCAGGCATCCGTCTCTTTTTTCGTTCGGGGCTTTACCTTTGAGAAAGCGGGTGGCCAGTTATCGGAGAACCTGCCGCTCTCCCGCCTTAGGCGGGGTGGGGGGAGCCTTGATTGGCCCGGCTGGTTCGGGTCAGTTTCGTTCCTTTTCCGCCTCCCCCCCTCGCCCCGGGGGATTCTGGGATGGGGACTCCGGGGGCAGCACCTTTTTGACTCCGGGCGTTCCCCGGTACGGGAGTGGGGCGTGCCGGCTCTGCACCGCCCCCTTGGCTGTGTGGGGCGGGGAGATAACGTGGCCGTGGCGGACACGCAGCCGAGAGCTGGTAGTCTGGCAGTCTGGCTCCTCTTTCCCCTGCATCTGCCCTCTTAGCATCCCCTCCCGCCCTCCGGGGCAGTTGTCACTCCCTCAACCCCACTCTCCGCTCCCCTCCGCGTGTCAGGCCCGAAGCCAAAAACTAAGGCCTACGTGGGACGGGCACGACCGGTGGTGAACCCGAGTTACGGCCCAAGGTGAGAGTTTGCATTTCGGGTCCGCAACTCTTTAGGGCTTCACCTCCTGATGAGGTCTGTTAAAGGTAAGACGAGTAGGAAGATGAGGTTGGGATATGTTTTGTAACTTTGGGCAGCCCACTTGTCTGAATGCTTTTGTTAGCTCTTGTAGGCTAAGGGGGAGCAAGACTAGGTAAAAAGTGCTCTAAGTAGTGCCTGATGTACAGTTTACAGGGATTCTTAACCAGGGCTCCTTGTGGATAGATTTCAGGGAGTTTGGGAACTTGGATGGGAAAAAAGTCACATCTTTCTTTCTCTTAAATAATCACCGATTGAAATTTTGCGTTCAGCTATGGATTAAAAAAAGGGGAGGGGGCAGCATTTATATAGCACTTTTAAGGTTTGCAAAGCGCCTTACAAATAATCTCTCTTTATCCTCACAACAACCCTGGGAGGAAGGGGCTATTATTATCCCTCTTTTGCAGATGAAGAAACTGAGGCAAACAAATTGTCTTGTCCAGGTCACTAAGCTAGTAAGTGACAGAAGCCAGATTTGAATGGTGTTCTTGACTCTAAGCCCAGTACTCACATCTACTTCACTACATATTTTTCAAAAAATATTATTCTGATGAGATACAGGTTTTGTCAGACTACGAAGAGGATATAAAAAAGGATAAGAATCCCTGTGTTTAAGGGCTTATTGAGATGGCCACTTCTGGTTAGTTTTTGGCCTCCTATGTAAAACTTTGTTAAGTTAATTTATGCAAAGGAAGTAATCAGTGTGTATGGGATCATCAAGCCAGCAATTACAGTAATATTAAAAGATTGCATCCCAATTGTGAATTTACTAAACATATATAGAGGAAAACCTTTGCAAGCAAAGCCAGACTTAGGATAGTTTATTGAAAAAGCAAATAACTTCTCTTGCTTCTAAAAATAGTTTCCCTTTTAAGAAGTCTTGTGTCAAGAGTTGATAGCATCCTGTTCAGGAAAGACGTTTTTCAAAACTGCACCCAAAATAGGCCTTTAAAAAATGAACAGGTACTGGAGGATTTAACAGCTGGGGATGTGCTATATTTAGGAAGATAAGGTTGTAGTAGAAGCATCAAAGCAATGTAAACAAAATGGCTAATACCCTTATGGGATGCTAAGCAGGCACTTTACTCAAACCTGACTCAGGAGCAAGTATTTAGGAGCTACTTGATTTATGCACATATCAGTGCTCTTGAATGAAAGAAATGAATGGAAATCTCGTTTTTTAAATTGTTAAACTGAGTATTAAGCCCCAATACAAATACATAATTGAGACAGTTTCTGACCTGAGGGAACTTACAATTTAACGTGGGTGAGGCTGCACAAAGAAGGAAGTTTGGGTCTGGGAAGTCCCTGGGATATTAAGCAGATGTTAAGTGGCTATGATGGGGCACTAGTGATTTGGTAACTGTTCCTGCTACAAGAATTGGAAAAGGGGGAGAGGGTGCCCATGTCATAACAGGACAGATAATAAGATCCCCAGATTGGATGACTGGGATGCACTTCACACAGATACATAAAAAGGGCGTAATAACTAACATATAGTCATTTGAGACTTAGAAAACAGTTTTGTAAGACATGCATCACACTGCCAGCAAAGGTCACCAAGTATGAAATACAGTGAAGTCGTATAAACTAGTGTAACTCTGTATACAGCTAGAAAATTTCACCTGCTTTAAAGAAATGAAGGTTATTGCTGGATTCCCCCACTTGAGCAATTCTATGCTGTATGTACTTTCTAGAGGAGTAAAACCAATTGAAAAAGAACAACCCATCTTAAAGAGACAGGCCAAATGTAGCATAAAAGTGGCATGTTCCATGCTAAAAGACTGTTAGTAACACTAACAACTGAACCTATAATAGATACAGATAATGTCTTTGTGAACCATTTAATCAGTGCCACTTATGAGCTCTGCTTAGTATTAAATGTCAAGAAATTATTACCAGCAATAAGATACAGTCTACCAACATTAAAGTGATGAATAAAAGTTCAGTAATACTATAATAGTATACTTATATAAGTCGCCATATGCTAGTCAGCATTAGGGATCCAAAAAAAATGCTGTATGTATTTTACTGAAGCAGTTTTAAACTGTGAGATGACTACAGAATTTTAGTTAGTAGTAGTCAGCAGACTAAATGAGGCTGTTGAACCAGTCATAAATAAAATAGCCCTTTTGAAGCAAAGGCTTAAGAAACTAAAATCACAGGCATCAGAAACTGAAAAAAGTTCAAAGGTATTAATCAAAATTGTCGGATAAGAAGTAGCATGAAAAAGGCTCCTGATTCTAGACCCAGCAATATCCTTAACTACTTGAGGGACTTCAAGCAAAACTCTAAACCTCGTTCCCCTTGGGTTGCTTACAGGTAAAATAAGGGAGGTATAATTATAATAGTTAATGGTAGTATTTATATAGAGTTTTAAGGTTTGCAAAGTACTTTACAAATATTGCTTTTTGTACTCACGACCCTGAAAAGTAGGTGCTATTATTATCCTCATTTTGCATATGGGGAAACTGAGGCAGAAAAGAGTTAAGAGACTTGTTCAGGGTCACACATCTAGTAAATGTCTAAGGCAGGATTTGAACTCAGGTCTTTCTGACTCCAAATCCAGTTCTCTATCTACTGTACCACTTAGATGATTTCTCAGGTGTAGTTTAGGAAAAATTGTTTATCATCTATTTTTCTAAAATGCACACTTCATGGCAGGACAGGTTTCTTTTTGTTTGTTTCTTTTTTGTTTTAAAGTTTTTGATCTAGGGACTAGCCTCCAAATTTAAGAAACAGATAGATTTTTCAGTTTTCAATGAAAGAAAAAGAAAATGAAAAAAAAAAAATAGTAGCCATGGTATGGTTGATTCCCAACATTCAAGATGAAATCCAAATTGGGACCTGGACGTGGAAAGTGGGGATCTACCCAATCATCCTGAAGCATTTTCTGAAAAGTCCCCAAGCATACTTTTTCAAACCCTTTCTAGAAGTACACAAGGGGCCAGGATGAAGAAACTTCTGTTGGTTGTGGTTGCAGCATGGTTGATCTTGAACAACTTCCTCTGCCTTATTCCTAAGGAGAGAAGGCCAGGCAAGCCAGAACAAGTAGTCCCAGCTGAGAAGACCAAAAATTCTCCAAGTGGGACCCCACTACTTCTTTGCCTCAAACAGCAAGTTACTTGTTACAGAACAAAATGCCCTTCTGGTTCTTGTAAAATGGCACCACAGATACTGGGTGGTATGGAATGTTATTATTCTGCACCTGATAGTGGGCAAGCCAGTCAATATTGGATAAATTCTTATAATGATATCAGGACACCAGAATACTGGACTCCCGTGAGAACTCTGTGAAAAGTCACCTGAATGTCTCAAGAGTATATACTCCAATAACTATGAGTAGTATATTATGTTGAAAAAAAGTGTCTGGTCTTACATTGGTCTGTTCAGACATATTTCCAAATGTGGATTTTCATCACAAAAGAAGATACCATGTATGATAGAAGTGTCTGCTAAACCCCCTGCTGGGTGTAACCTACCCCCACATAGGCCAGACTAGGTTTTCCTTAAAAGATAGTGAAATCATCCTTAGACTTAATTGGGCAAGAGTGAAGTAAGTACAAAAGCCAACCCAGGAGGAGTTTGTAGCTCCTCCATTGACATGAACAGTTCAGGAAACTGTGCCCAGCTTAATCAATGGTAAGTGTTTGCTAAACTGCTTTTGGTATATGCTATGTAAAGTAAGTAAACTTTGTTTTGTTAACTCTGATTTCATTCCAGTTTGAAACCTGAACCACCAAACTAGCCTGAGTCAGTCCTGGTCTACAACAGTATGTGTTTGTAAATTAATCTTTGCCACCTTGGTTGGAGGATTTGATTTTCTGTGATCATTTCTCCTGACAGGATTTCAATGATAAATATTTTAAATTAATTTTACCTTTCTTTATACCAGTTATAGTGTGTGATTAGCATTGTGTTACTACTAATCATTTAATTTTACAAGTGGAAGATATTTTCCCTTAATTTAATCAACTTTGGCTGTGTTTCAGTTCAGTTTCAAAAAGAACGTTTTCATTTAGAGGATGATAATATGGATGGAGGATGAGACACCATAGTATGGTGGATAGAAAGCCAGTGCCTTCTAAATATACTACCTCTGTGACACATTGGTCAAATCATTTAATATTTCAGTGCCCCAGGTAACACTCTCAAACTATAAGTTACATATTAGTTGCTGACCTGCAGCAGAGAAGGGAGAATCCACACCAGGAAAGTAAAAAGAAGGGAGATGTTGTGGAGGTAGAATGGACATAGGTGGGTGGAATGGACGTTATGTGTGCCTAAATGCAAGAAGAAACAATCCTATAAAAGTTTTTGACCCCACCCCTTTTCCTTCCTTTCACAACTATATACCTGATATCTCAGTTTCCTCATTATCTACTGTCCTCAATCCATTACAATCTGGCTTCTGCACTCACCATTCTACTAAAACTGCTGTCTTGAAGGTTACAGATGACCTTATTGCCAAATCCACCAGCCTTTTTTCCATCTTCTCTCTCCTTGATCTCTTTACATATCTTTATTTGGTTTCAGAGATGCCACACTTTGAAAGAATGGTGACTCAGATCCAAGCTCGGTTACTTAATTACCCATGTGACCTTATGCAATGGGTCTTAGTTTCCTCATTTGGAAAAATGAGATGGGTAGACCTGATGACCTTTAAGGTCATTTGCCCTTAATTAATGATCCTCCTGTCCTAAATGATCTTCTGTCTCTAAGAGGCAGTATAGTTGAGTGGAAAGAGTACTGAACTAGCAGAAGGGAGAGAAGAGATAATCTTTTGAGGGCAGAAAGTTGTTTTTACCTTTATATCTGTAGCATCTTTAATAGTGCTTTGCACATAGTGCTTAATAAATGTTTATTGAAATTTCATCTATTTCCTTTGTGATCTTGGCCAAGTTATTTGATATTTCCTATTTCCTCGTCTTTAAAATTAGGAG